TTCTTGTGAGCCTGCCATGTTTCAAGGGGCAGGCGATAAACCATGACCTTCCCATTGTCCCATGTTCTCTGGCACCAAGTGTATCAGTATTTCCCTTCCTATGGCTTCTGTTTTCTCTCTGGTTTTGGGGGTGAGGGGGGACAACTGGAAGGCCAAATCCAAGAATCTTTGTCATCTGTTCCCCATTTCTTAGCATTTAATGTGATCAAAACTCTGACCTGGATTGAAGCCTAGAGAAGAGACGTGTGTGCCCAAGGCCATCTGAGAAGTGAGCAGCTAGGGTAGGATTTGGACTAGATGTGGCTGACTCAAGCCCCATGATAAGGCCATGTGTTCCAAACTCAGGCAGCCATGATGGGTGCAAAGTCCTTCCCTACTTTGAGCTAAAATCCCCAGCCTGCCATTTGTGCCTCATAGTGTTCTACATTCTCAAAATAGAAGTCACTCTGGCAAATATTTGGCATTATATTTCTAATGCTCCTCTATTCTTTCAACTTTTTTTTTTATTAGAAAGAACGTTGAGTTCCTTTTGCTTTCTCCTGTGGCTCTTGCTGGACCTGCTACCCTTTGTCAAAGGGTCTCTTTAAACAGGATGCCTGAAGTCAAATGGGCCACTTCCAGTGAGGGCTAAAGTGTGGGAATGAGCAGGCTTCCCATCTCCCATAGTGAGTGTTTGCTCCATTAGCTTTTTGTCGGGCACACCCGAGTCCTCTGGAACCGCTACTTATGGGCGTATCTGCTGCTTCTAGGGTGAGGGTGCCCAGGCACCAATGTGCATTGAGCACCTTGTGGATTCCAAGCTCAGTTCCCACCCAGTGTTGCTTTGAGTTGTCTCTGTATGCCTCTGAAGCAGATCTTATTAGTCCCCTATTGCAAATGAGGCAACTGAGGCTGAGAAGGGCTATGATTAGAAATATAGAACTAAGCAAAATCTCCCAGTCCTTTTGCCCATGTGGGCAGGTTTGAAGCCCAATAGGCAGGACTAATAACCACCACTGTGAAAACAATGAGATTGGATTTGGTTTCTCAGACCTGACATTCATAATATGTTAGAGTTTCAAATGTTTCAGAACCCAGAGTCGGGGTATGATCCCCAACTACGCCATTTCCCTCAAATTGATCATCATGGCATTCATAAATGGCCCAAATCGGACACTATTGTGTTCAGACTCCTGAAATCTCTATCAGAGACCTGCCCCCATTCCAGCCTCTGTGGAGTCACTGACCAGCACTTTTCATGTCTTGACCCAAGGACGGGAAGGAATCCAGTGAAAACACCCTCACTCCCTCCCACTACCGCCGAACTTCTTCAACCTGTCCAAGTGGATATTATGCAAAACCACTGTGGCGGGCATTGGTGGTTTTCAACCTACATTTATTTCTTGTTTGGTGTTAACATTTTATTTTCTTTGGGGAATATAATAGATTGGAACATTGCTTTAGTTTCTTCATTCCCCTGTAAAAGAGTTATACATCCATGCCCTTTATCACACGACTTCTGAGTGTCTCTCTATTGATGGGGAGAATTTATCTCTCCAAGGGACTGATGTTGAGCTTGGTCATGTGGCTTTTGTGAACTGGTGGCACATGAGTGGTTATGAGGTGAGCAGAGGCTCTAAATGTGCGGTGTGATTTGGTCTTCTGTGCGCCTATTATCCACAGTGAGAAAAACATGTGCCCTTGTCTATACAGGAGGAGATGCAGATGGTGCAGACCCAAACCCGACATTAGTCCGGAGTCAAGCCCAGTCCCTCCCAGCAGGGATACAACTTATTCTCGGATTTATAAGTAAGAAATAGAAAGGTGGCCAGGTGCAGTGGCTCACGCCTGTAATCCCAGCACTTTGCGAGGCCGAGGCGGGCAGATCACCTGAGGTTGGGAGTTCAAGACCAGCCTGACCAACATGGAGAAACCCATCTCTCCTAAAAATACAAAATCAGCCAGGCATGGTTGTGCATGCCTGTAATCCCAGCTACTCTGGAGGCTGAGGCAGGAGAATTGCTTGACCCAGGAGGCGGAGGTTGCAGTGAGCTGAGATTGTGCCACTGCACTCCAGCCTGGGCGACAAGAGCAAAACTAAAAAATAAAAAAAGAAGAAAGAAAGAAAGAAAGAAAAGAAAAGAAATAAATAGAAAGGCTTGTTAGCATAAGCCACTGAGTTTTGTAGATGTTTCCCATAATTAGTGCAGTGATAGCTGATTAATCACTACAGGGGTGCATCCCCTGTCACAGGCCTTCAACACCCAGGGTGGGGACCATGACCCAAGCTTGGTCAGCAAGCGCATCTGTGCTGGGGACTCCTGATTTCCCATCTCACCCACTATCCATTCTCTGCCCAACTCTAGCCTGCTCCAAGCCCAGCCCCCACCAGGCTCTGGTAATGCTGTTTCCTTTCCTTACCTATCAAGCCGATGGGAGGCAAGAGGGTCTCCCTGTGGCTAGCTGCAGGTGCTCAACACCCCGTGAGTGCCCTTGTCTCACGTCTTAGACCTTTCATTCATTTATTTTCATAATCCCCACCACACATACTTTCTATTCCCAACTGAGATGGCCTGGTTCAGACCACACCCTTCATCCCAAATTCTGGATGCACTTGGGCAAGTCACTTATACTTCATTTTTCCCCCAGTTGAGAAAATAGGAATTAGACTGTTGCCGTTTCAAGGCTGTCATGAGAGAAATCAGATCACGGATAAACAGTGGTTTGCCTTGTGCTATAGCCTCATGTTGAACTTACAATACAGGTGGGTCCCCTGGGCCCATCTTGCTCGTGCTAGCATCTAATGTGATGCCAGGAACACACCAAAGCATTAATAAATATTTGTAGAATGAAAAGCCCTATGGTAGATTTTCTTCCTTTGACCTTTTGATTATTTTTCCTCTTGAAATAACAGAATAAGATACCTAGTACCATGGTGACAATCTCTATAGAAATCCATAGCTTGCTCTCAGCACACCCGCAGATGTCGGTGGGAGGCTGGCATAGATTCGGACCAATAGAGAGAAGGCATGGTTAGCCTTGTCCTGGTTACAAAGAACATGGTTTTTTTTTTTTTTTTTCCCTTTCAAATGGACCTTCCTGTCCCCAATTCAGCATCACCTAGCTCTCTCCTAATGTGGGTTAATTTTCCATCAGCTCCTAGAAAGAGTGTATTTCCAGACTCTCTGGGGACAGACAGAGGAGTTTCAAACAGGATAAAGCAAGCTTCGATGGAGAATATTTGGAGCCTGCCATGGCGTCAGGCTGCTCCGACCACATTTCTGCCAGAGTGGGGGAATGTGTTTGCTTGGAACAGGTAATCCTTTCAGATACTCTAATCCGAGGTTTGAAATAGACTTGTGTTCCTACCAGAAATCCCTGTTGTTTTACCTTTTCTTTGTTAGGCTTGCCCTGGTAAAGACCGGGGAGGCATTGGCTTGGGACTGGGGGTCCTCCACTGAAGCCAGACAGGGTGTCTGCCTCTTTAAGAGGGACCTCGAGGAGGGACAGTCAGAAAATTACAGAGATGAAAGCCAGATGGCCACTAAATAGGATGGCAGCAAGTGAGGAGAGGGCGGCCAGCTGGGCTGTCTGCTTTATCACCTTGCAGTGGAGAAGACTTCGGCCTGTGGCTGCAAGTGCAAGATTTGGGGAAGGGATGGCGCTGAGCCAGGGCCCTCCAAACGGTCCAACTGGCTTCAACTTCTGCACGAACTGGGGCACAGAGTTCTAGACCTGGGAGGCAGAAAAAGTCTGGGCCGTGGAGCCAGAGAGGTCTGGGTTCAAATTCTAGTGGTGTTTCCCTGAACACCGGTCAATCTGTCCGACTTCCATTTCCTCGTCTGTAAAATGGGGTGGTGATCCCATCTCACAGAGTCACTGTGAGGCAAGTACAAAGAATATGATTTAAGCACAGTGTGTGGGGTAATGTGGCTGTTCAGGAAATTTCAGGGCCCCTGTCCTCTGGAGAGCACAGCGATAACTATTTAACTAAGACAGGGAGAAGGGACATTTTTTTTTTTTTTGAGAGTCTGGGATCCTGGCCATTTAAAAACGAAATCCCCAAATCCCGTTTAAATGCCTTACTAAGAATGCAAGTCTATCACTCAGGGTTAGTATCAGCTACCTGTAACAGAAAACCCAGATAACAGTGGTTTAAAGAAGAAAAAGGTTTACTTTTCTTTCACATAAAAGAGCTCCTGATGTACATAGTCAGGAGTTAGAAGGATGGCGCCCCAGTCATCCCCTCCAAGAGGCCAAGGCTCTTTTCATCTTCACGCTCTGCCACTCTTAGAGAGTAGCTTCCTCTGTCAAGGTCATTGCATAGTCATAAAACTGCTGCTGCAGCTCCAGCCATTATGTCCACAGCCCAGGCACCAAGAAGGGATAAGAAGTGCAAGAGGAGGCACCTGTCAGATAGGTCAGCAATTTTAAAAATCTTTACTGGAAGCTTCTCCCAGTGGCTTCCACTTACATCTTATTGGGTACCCTCTATGGCAAGAGGGGCTGGGATATTCATGGGGCAGGTGGATGCTCCCAGTAATCACAGGGGTTCCATTAGTAGGGAGCAATGGCAGAATGTCACCTCTCCCAGAGCTAACATGCAGCTTCTTCAACTTCCCTGGAAAGGTCTGCCTGGGCACATTTCCCCAGGAACAATAAGGTATCTCAGGCTTTCTGCCTTCTCCAGCATCAGTTCTCGCTCAGCAGACCAGCTGTTTCTGGAAAGGGCCACAGGTGAGAGTAAGGTCAGAAGCCTGTGGCATGCAGCTGGTCTCAAAGGCACAGCTGCAGGAAGGTCTTGCCATGCCTCGGACTAGCTGGGTATTCCTGGGTGAGTTACTTAACTGCATCCCTCAGGATTCATGGATAGCCTTAAGGATCAGTGACTTGAACATTCAGCAAAACATCCTGCAGGGGCCAGAGTTCAATAGATTGTCAGCCGAGGTTAGTCCCCATCTTTTCAACCTCCCATTGCCCACCTACCACCTCGATGTTAGTAAAGCAACGGTGGTTTTCACCCAACTTCAGGTGATACGTAGATTTTATGAATCAGGAAGGTTCAGAATCCGAAGATCAGATGGACTACATGTGGGTACCGGGTTTGTGAACCTACCTGGAACACTCTAAAATGCAAAGGATAACCATTAAAATCTAAAATGTTGTATACTCTCTCATATCTGTCTATGTTACCAGCTGAATTAGTTAGCTATTGCTGTGTAACAAGTGACCCTAAAACGTAGTAGCTTAAAAACCAGCACAGTTTATTATCTCACTGTTTCTCTGGGTTGAGAATCTGGGTGTGGCTTAGCTGGGTCTTGGGCTCAAGGCCCTTTGCAAGGCTGCAGGTAGGATGTCCGTGGGGCTGTGGCCATCTCAAGGCTGAAACGGGGTTGGATCCGCTTCCCAGCTCACTCACATGGTGGCTGGCATGATCCAGCTCCTCATTGGCTGTCGCCTGGAGACTCCTCAGTACCATGCAGCATGGGCCTTTCCACACGCAGCTCACAACGTGGCAGCCTGCTTCATCAGAACAAGCTAGTGAGGACAGAAGAGAGAGAATGTGAGCAAGACGGAAGTCTTCTATAACCAAACCTCGGAAGGGGCATCTGTCACTATTTTATTCTGTTTATCAGAAGCAAGTCACTGGCTCCAGCCCAGACTCAAGGGAGGGGATTCCACATGGGCATGGACACCAGAAGAAGGGATCGCTTGGGGCAGGGAGGGGCCGACTGGCTTTTGGAAGTGCCAACTGAGGTCCTGCTTCATTCACCCACCTCCACTCCCAGGCTCCAGACATGGGGCCTGTTTCCTTCCATGAGCAAGCCCAGCTCCCTGCTACCATGGGGCCTTTGCTCATGTAGTTCTGCGTTCCTGGTAACTCTTCCCTCTCTTCCTTTGTAGATCTACTCGGTTTCAAATTTCATCCCCAATCTCATTTTTTCCAGGAAGACTTTCCTGGACACCGTGCTTCTGAGTCACAGGAAGGAGGGGTGCCTGAAGCCCTACTCAGCCCTGGGTAGCCCCAAAAGTTTGTCTTCAAGCAGAAGCCTGGGCCTTGACTGTTCAGCTCTCATTCCTTGTGTGGTTTACTGTGTTTGGACCTTTAGCTGTGGTTGTAATCCTCAACCAGAGAGACTTTGGATCTAGTTCACGGATTCTTGGCGTGTCATGCTGAACTGCCCCAGCAGTCGGAATGGAGGAAAGAGATGGACCTGATTTCAGGCAAGGCCCCAGCTCTGAACACGTGTTTGTTTGGTCCACGTTGTTGTTATCATCTGAGTTCAGTCCTTTGCCTGCAGAAGGTATAATTTTCAGTCCATAAACTCAGGTGTGGGATAGATATAAATATCTCTATCATAACTGAGTTCAGTTCCGATTTTGAGCCTCCATTCAGCCCAGGTAGATAACAAATCAGTCTCAGCTGATCTGCCCCTTCTTTTCCCAGAGATTGCTCTGCATGGTGTACAAAGGTGATAGAAGGATGGCCACCTGCTCTTTCATGCCACCTGTCCCTGGCATTTATCATTCTGGGTCATGGGTCAATGCAGGTCACCATGGAGCTGTCCCTTGTTTCTGTTCGCAGCCTGTCTCCGGTCAAGTGACTCTGTGCTTCTGGGGTTCACGGGCGTCATTGTTTTACCTCGTGTCTCACAGGATCCATGAGGCACCTAAGCCCCGAGTCTCCTAGACGCACTCTTAGAAGGGCCGCTTCCTTTGACTCTTCCCTCATCCCTAGGCACACCCTCTTCCTTTCTGCTGTTAGGTTCCATGGGCCGTGCCTTTAGAGACTTTGTCTTTATCTTGACACCTGGCAGAGAGAGCAGAGCACAAAGGTCAGTTTCTCAGGGACACTGACAGTCTCAGCACTCCCGCCACAATAGCCTTTCCACATCAGCCTAGGAAACTTCTCTTGGTCCAGAGGCTGGTGGGGAGAGCCTTTGCTCATGACATCTTCCTCCAGCATTTTTTTGGCTAAGCCATGAATTCTTTCCAATCTCCTGAGAAACTCATCTTGAAAGCTTAAAAGCCAAGGAAGACTGATTTTCTTCTCCTTTCTGCTGTCACAGGAACAGCCTCAACTGATTTAAAGCGGGGAAGGCTAAGGAGGAAAATAAAAAGCCAGAGGAAACCGTAGACCTTCTCAACACTATGTGCCCCTCACATCCATCCAATACATATTTACTAGCGCTTGCCATGGGTCAGTTGCTGTTCTGGGTGCCAAGAACAAAAACATTAAAAGACTCAGCACCAAGGCTGAATGCAGTGGTGCATGCCTGTAATCCTAGCATTTTGGGAGGCCAAGATGGGCAGATCATCTGAAGCCAGGAGTTCAAGACCAGCCTGACCAACACGGTAACACCCTGTCTCTACAAAAAATACAAAAATAAGCCTGGTGTGATGGCACATACCTGTACTCCCAGCTACTCGGGAGGCTGACGCAGGAGAATTGATTGAGCCCGGAAGGCAGAGGTTGCAGTGAGCTGAGATCTCACCACTGCCCTCTAGCCTGGGTGACAGAGTGAGACACTATCTCAAGAAATCAATCAATAAAAAGACTTAGCACTAGTCCTCAGAAATTTCAGCCTAATGAGGAAATGGGGGGTGGGGGATCAGGCTTGTAAACAGATTGACAGGCGCAGTGTGATAAGAGACTACAGAAAATACGGGAGCCCAGAGGAGGCACTCAGTGCAGGCTGACCCTCCAGGAGTCCAGGACTGAGCTTGAAGGATGGACTGGAGTTACAGAATCCAGGAAAGGAGAGTTGAGCAGAGAGAGGAGTCCCTCTGAAAGTGGGGAGGTAGAAAGACAGCCTCTGAGCGGCCACTGGTGTGGGTGTGTCTGTTTGGAAGGAACACAGGTTGTGTCTCCAGGAATGGCTACAGATAAGCTTGGAGAGAAGTGGGCAGGAATCAGGTGACAAGATGTCTTGGATGTCAGGCTGAGGCATTTGGACTTTATCTTCAGGAAATGTAGACTCATGGGAGAATGTTTAAGCATGTGGTGATATGGCAGGCTTTGTGTTTTAGAAAGTTCTTCCTGGGCCAGGGTGGAGGATGGGCTGGAGATAGAGTGTCAGTGAGGAGCCTGGGACAGACATCCCAGCAAGGCAAGGCGCAGCCTGTACTGGGAAGATGGGGGGGGAAAGAAGGAGATACATTCCCAGATTGGGGGGCAGGGCTGGCGGGAGGGTAGGGCTGGCAGGACTGGGTCTCTGAGGGGATGTGGGTATCCAGGGCGACTCCAAGCCCTCTAATGGTGCCATTTGCCAAGTTGACAAGATGGATACCCAAAGAGATAGAGGATGGGGTTCAGATGTAGTGGCTCAAGCCTGCAGTCCCAGCACTTTGGGAGGCTAAGTAGGAAAATTGCTTGAGTCCAGGAGTTTGAGACCAGCCTGGGCAAAATTACTTCTAACCGTCTATATAACTAATTAAAAAAAAAAAAATTAGCCAGGCATGGTGGCCCAGCCCTGTGGTCCCAGCTACTCGGGAAGATTGCCTGAGCCTGGGAGATCGAAGTTGCTGTGAGTCCTGATTGCACCATTGCACTCCAGGCTGGGTGCCTGGGTGACAGAGCGAGACTGTGTCTGAAAAAAAAGAATAGGGCTGGGGAGGAGGAGAGGATTGGTTTAGTCTGAAGTCCAGGTAGGAGTCAGGATCCCGTGGATAAGAAACCTCTCTGTGCTGCAGTTCTGAACCTTAGCAGAAGGTTCTGGAGCACAAAAGCCCAGACTGGAAGTACATGCAAGAGGCAGCCGTGGAACTCTAGTACTTTGCAATAGTTGCCACGAATGGTGGTCAATTAGGACGTTTTCAACAGAGGAAAAGAAAATGCAGCTGACAGTGCCCCAAATAAATAAGACATTAAAACTCGCTGAAGAAGAGAGTTCCAGGGCTGGAGTCAGCGGCTCGATACCCCGTCAGGGGACCCACGTTCTTTTTTTCTTTCTGCTCTGCCATCCTTAGCTGTGTGCCTTTGGTCTCCTTGCTAGCAAGATGGGTGCTGTGTTCTATATTTCAATATTTCCATGAAATAGACCAGTGTTCCCTGAAGCGTTATATATTTCTGGGTCCTACCAGTGTATTAACTTTGGCACTTGAGCAGACACTTACCCCAGTGCAGACACAGTGTGGTGTCTCACGGTCTTCTCATAGGACCGTAAAGCATTCGGGAGGCCTCAGGGATATGTGGAAAAAGTCCATTGGGGCCACACACATCTGCATTTGAATCTGGCCTTTCTGTGAATATTCAGGAGGTCGCGTTCCCTTTCTGAAATATCCCTTGCAGTATCTCTGAAAAGGAGAGTCAGGGACCATGAGTGTCCGGGAGATGATTTTGTCAAGTGCCTGGCCTGAGCCAGCAGCAGCTCTCTCCTTGATTTTGTCACCGCCCTTCCGCTCCATCTCATCTTACTCCTCATGAGGGTATAGTTTAACGAACAACCTCGAGAGAGCGCTAAGTTCAGTCCCATGAAGAGAACTGCTCATGGGAAATCTCAGGTAGCTGCCGGTGGGGAGAGGCATTTGAGGCGGCGAAGCTAGGGAAAATATGGGCTACTTGGCTCTCCTGCTTTTAAAGCAGTGTTTAAAACCCTGCTCTGTTCCCCAATGAATAGAGTTTGCAATCGGGAAGATTTTTTTCTTTTTGAGATGGAATTTTGCTCTTGTTGCCCAGGCTGGAGGCAATCTCAGCTCACTGCAACCTCCGCCTCTCAGGTTCAAGCGATTCTCCTGCCTTGGCCTCCTGAGTAGCTGGGATTATAGGCAGGCACCACTACACCAGGCTAATTTTTGTATTTTTAGTAGAGACGGGGTTTCTCCATGTTGGTCAGGCTAGTCTCGAACTCCTGACCTCAGGTAATCCACCCACCTTGGCCTTCCAAAGTGCTGGGATTACAGGCGTTAAGCCACCATGCCTGGCCACAACAGAGTGATTTTTTAAAAAGGTGATAGATGACAACCTACGTCATCTTTGGGGTCAGCTTTCAGAAATAGAACCTCCCTTGCCCTCAGATGTCTCCGCGCTGCTCCTAAGCCTGGCAAAGCTGTAAGTGTAGAGCTCATTACAGGAGGAGCAGGAGATACTCTCCTACTCTGCCCTGAGTCAGGCCGCCTGGTGTGCTGATGACTCACCACCGCCTGCCCTGGCCCCCTGCCTACCAGGAGGCCACTACCTCCGGCCATTTTTATTTTCCTTTGTGGGGAAAGATTCTGACCTCTGTGCTCTGTGTCTCCACCCATTCTGCCTGCCCCAGACGGGGCAAAAGTTCTCGGTAAAACCCTCCTTTTTTCAGGGAAACTGCAGGGGTTGGGGGCAGAAGAGGGAATTCAAGCAGGTCCCAGGCATGCAGAAACACAGATAATACAAGGGTAGGAGCCTTTCGGGATTTGCAAGATGTTCAACCAGGCACCATCAATCACTGCCAAAAGTGGCTGTTATGCAAAGAAGCTTAATTGGCCTACAGGTTGGTTGAGTTTTAAACCCACAGATTGTAGCAAGGCAAAGGAAATGAAAACATTTGACAGATTCTGGGTGGGGCTGTGTGACTTACACAAACATAGCAGAGAAACATCTGGGGATAGAATGGGCCTCAGATGACAAAGGGTCTATTATATAGCATATATAATACGCAGACACCTATACAATATATATGTGCTGTGTGTGTGTGTGTGTGTGTGTGTGTGTGTGTGTGTAAGTTGAGAGGGAGCAGGCAGAAATGCAAACATCAGAAGCTTTTGGATATATATATGGATATATGTATATTCACTACATGTATATGTAAATGTAATGGGACATGTTCAAAATATAACACCATGAAAGGCTCCAGACAAGAAGTTGGAGACCGAGCTGTCACCCTGGGATTGAAGACAATGTGACGGTTTATTCTCCAGAATTACTGGAGATAAGGCACTGGATAAGGCACAGCCAGTGTGGAAGTCACCCACTGAGTTGTATCACGCAGGGAAAATATTCATTCCTCCATTTATTCGTGGAGTCCACAGTGGTTGTTTTGAGTGTCAGTTTACCAATCGAGGCCTGGCTTTGATTTGCTTCCCCAGGAATCTGGGAAATCTTGGGTGATTTATTTAACTTCCTTGGGTCTCATTTTCCTAGTGTAGAAATGGATGTCTATTTCCTGGTCTGGAGAGGATAAAAGAAGGTCATAGATGTGCCTGGCATATAATGGAACGTGGTCCCTAATCATAATACATAATACATAATCATGTATTGCTTTTTTTGATGCATTTTAATTGAGCACATATTTTGTGCCAAGCCTTATGCTAAACACAAAGAATCTAGACCTATTCAATTCATCCATGTAATAGAGATTTGCTGAGCACCTACTGCGTGCTTGATAAACACTGTGCTAGGATCCCAGGCTGGTAAGGGAGACAGTTATTCAGTAGCCAGGCAGTTTCTCCCTCGCTGACTGCCAAAGCTTCAAAGGGTTCCAGTCCAACAGGGTCATCACAGCTATTATCAGCCCCTTCTACAGATGAGAAAACTGAGGCTCAGAAAGGTGGAGAGACTTCCCCAAGTCCCCACAGCTAGTGAGGGGCTGAGCCTCAACTGTAGCCCAGATCAGCCAAATTCCAAGGACCGTGTCCTTTCTCAACAATGCATATCCGCTAGAGTACATTTTTCAAGCTTTGAGATAAAGACAGCGGGCAAGAAAGGGGTAAGAAAATGCACAAATACAAGAGACATTCCTTTTCCTGGGTCTGTGATGGGGGAAGAATCTACCTCTGGGAATACTGAGGAGGGGTTTTGAGTAGGCAGCGAGGGATGCTGTGGATGTATGCATGTGTGTGTGTCTGTGAGTGTGTGTGTGCGCGCCCATTTCTGTGAGTGTGTAAATGTGCGTGTGTATCTACATCTGTCTATTTGCATGACTACACATGGAAGAGAGGTAGGCAAGTGTGTTTGCCTGTGTGTGTGTGTGTGTGTATACGTGTGTGTGTATTTGTGAGTCTGCACATGTGTCTTTGGGGATGTGTGGGTGTATGTGTGTGTCTCTATACCTGTGTGCCTATTGATATGTCTTTCAGTGTGTCTCTCTGTCTGCATGTCTGTCTGTGCCTGTGCGTGTGTGTTGGCATGTCTGTGAGCGTCTGTGTGTGTGCCTCTGTGGGTGTGCGGCGTGACTTGTCCCCTTTTCCGTCCTCAGTTGTTTCTGTGGAGCTGATCTAGCTTGTCCTTCAGAACCAGGGGACCTGACAACATCAGTGGCTTCAGCTTTACCTCTCAGCCTGCCATCCTGTCAGAGGAAAGGATGCGTGCCTGGCACAGTCTGCTCCTTATGATGTCATGCTGGCTGTGACTTGCGCATTCCGCTCTCCTAGGTATTTGTCTTTTGACTGTTTGACGAATACCTGCCAAAGATGAAGGGAATACGAGTTTGGGGTTTCTAAAAGAATCACAGCTGGCGGATGCATTAGCTGCCCATTTTCTTTGCCGTGTACTTGGGAACCATGGTAAAGAGACAGCTTTGGCTTTGCAATGGTGAGAGCTCGGTTCCAGTCTCCAGTCTGCCCCTTCAAAAGCTGTGTGAACTTGGAGAGGACGCTTTAGCTCTTTGAGCCAAGATTCCTTACCTTATAAGAAGGTTCTTTGGAGGGTTGAACATACCAATAGATGAAAACGTTTTCAGAAATTCACAAAGTCCTTAAATCATAAGATGTCAGGGCAAGGGGGCCCCGTGGGAGGACCCTGGGCTCAGATGTCAAGCAGATGTGGGCTTGGGCCCTGGCTTCTTCCTTTCCTCAACAAATGACACTGAGTAAGTTTTTTTAATCTCTCTGAGCCTCAGATTGTTCCTGCATTAAATAGGACAGTATAATGTATAAAGCACTAAGCCAATGTGCTGGCCAATGTGAACGCCCCTAAAACGGGAGCTGTTAACATTTTTAATACTTCAAAGGGGCTGATGGCAATATTAATATCTGCCCACTTTCATACTTTCAGTGAGTGTAGCAAATTAAGCGTCTGCAAGTGCAGGGTATAATGAATGCACAGTGTGACAGAAGTGATTTACTATCTCTCGTTTTTACTATTTCAAGATGCAACCTCAGCAGAGTGTTCTTGGCATCACCACATTCTTGGCAAGCAGCTTGCGTTTCATCTAGAACTCAGAGGCTGTTCTAGTTGCAGAGAGGAGCTGAGAACAAGGTAGCCTCCAGCCCAGAGATGTCCAGGCCAGCTGGCTGGGTGGCAGACTTCCCTAGTACCTGTCCCCAGCCTCTCCAGCTGGATCCTTTCTACGTCATGTCCTCACCTTCAGCAAGACCTCAAATCCCCCTTGTTTGTGAAGATGCTATTCCCTCTGCCTGGAATATCCTTGGCTGCCACTCGAACCTTCCGCCAATCTGGGCTTGGCTCCAGGTCCCTGTACCCAGGCTAAGTCAGATGTCCCTGCTCTATGTCCTCAGTGCACCCTGGATTCACCCCACCATACATGACGTCCAGGGCATTTGAACCGTCTGCTTCTGTGCCTGGTTCCCTCCCAGAGGGTGCTCTCCAGGAGGCCAGGGACAGGGAACTCAGGAGTCCTCGGTGGATGTTCACACAGCAAGCACATGAAGATCATTCATTTTCTGCCTCCACCCCCTCAGATGGCAATACCTTCATGTATAAATATATTCAGTTTGTCTGAACTCATTCCGACAACCACTTAGCTTAACAGCAGAGATTTCAGAGAGCTGTGCCTCCTCTGTGGCTGCTGATGTTTGTTTTGAAGCAGATGGGTCTGTCTCACTGCATCTGCTTGTTTCAACAACGGCACCAGGCAGGTCAGAGCACAAAAGACTCCCAAGTCCTTGAGTAGCTTCAGCCTGTGTGTCAGGGATAGCACGTGGGTTTACCGTGATGGCAGTGAGCATCCATGTGGCTTGACAGTCTCAGTTTTGAAGAGTGGTTGGCAACTCAGGCTCTGGGATTGTACCGCCTGAGTTGCAAGCCTCAGTCCTACCACCTGCTAGCCGTATGATGTGGGTGATGCACTGAACCTCTTTGTGCCTCAGTCTACTTGTCTATAAAGTGGGGATATGTAATAGCACCTACTTGCCCTGTTGGGTTTTTGTTGGAATTAAATGAGATCAGTTCCTGGTGTAGAAAGAATATTTGATGACGTTTAGCTAGTGTTACTATTGTGTTGTTTTTGTACCCAATGGCAGTATCAGACCAGGACCTCCACTCTGACTGTAACAGAGATGGAGTGTCTGGCTAGACACCCTGTCTCCATCCTGCCAGAGCTGGTTTCCCAGGGCCAGAGGTTGGAATTACTCCGCAATTTCAGATGAATCTTTTTATGATCATGTAAGCATCCTCCAGGAGAGGTAGATGGTCCCTCTGTGTCTGAGAAGGGTTCTTGCCTTTCTCTCACTTAACAGCAACCTGGCACACCCAGTTGGCAGTCTACGTGGCACTTTGCTTACCTCATGGTATAGCACAGGGGTCCAAAAATTATATCCCTAGGACCAAATCTGGTCCCTTGCCTGTTTTGTTAATAAAGTTTTATCAGAACACAGTTTATTTGTGTGTTGTCTCTGGCTGCTTTAGCAATAAAATGGCAGTGTGGAGTGGCTATGACAGAGGCCACAGAGCTTGAAAAGCCTAAAATATTTTCCATCTGGCTCTTTATAGAAAAAGCTTGCCAACCCTTTGCGTAAAAGTAAAGGATTAAAGGTTTCTCTGGTTGACGGAGACAGAGACCCAAGCACCATTCCCACCTCGTTGCTCTCCCTCAGCCCTAACGCTGGTTGGCCACCATTACTTTGTCTCATTCTATTTCGTGTGACTAATCTCCCATCGCTTCCTCAAACACCACTGCTCAACTCAGCCCTTTCCCAGGTCCCATTGACTAGCATATGCCAGGGCCACCACCGTCTTGTGAGGTGTCTCTGGGTGAATGAGACAAAGACATCCCTCGGGATAGATGAAGCTCTATGTCACACATTGGTGTTCTGGGCAAACCCCCCAACCCTATTAATTATACTCAGTGAATGACAGCCTTTGTACCCGTTGGTCAGTTTTATTGATCACACTGTCTCCTAGCCTTGAGTTTTCCCCTGTCCAGGTGACCATCCACCCTAGAGCTACAGTGATCTTCCTAACAGGTCATGTCCCTCTCTTGCTCAAATTCCTTCATGCCCACTGCCCTCAGGAAAAGCCCACACTCTTGTGTGTGACATTCAAGGCCTGTTGTGATCTCGTCTTTGCCAGTCTCATGTCTCACCATCTGCTCAGCCTCTACCACACCTGAGCACCGCTCCACAATGAGGGATCCCTAGACCCATCGCTACATAATGAGGGTATCTCTAGACCGTAGGCTTGCTCATACTATGGGGATTGGCACATGCTTGTTCTTCATGAATTAGCCTGCCCTTCCTCTTCTCCATCTGCCAAATTCCAAGTCATCCTTCAAGCCCCAACACAAGGATCTCCTCCCTGATTCTCCTCGAGGACCTGAGCGCACTCCTTTCAGGGTTCACTTCATTCTCCACAAACCATGGCTCACAGCCCGCAAATGGGTCAGAAAATTGGGGTAATGGATCTTGGCCAGGACCTTTTGAAAGATGAACTAGGTGAGAAAATGCAAGAGCACATCACTCTTGATTGCGTGGTTCTAGCCTAAGATAAAGAACGTAAGCTCTGGAGCCAGCCTGCCCGGGTTCCAGTCTGGTTCTATAGCTATAGGTTGCTGCAAAAGTTTTTGCCATTTTTAAAAGCGATGGTAAAAACCACCATTACTTTTGTACCAACCTAATATTAGCAATGACCTTGGCAAGTGACTTAGTCTCTCTGTGTCTCAGTTTCCTCATCTGTAAAACAATGATGATAACAGTACTTTCTTCATGGCTTCTCATGAAGATTAAGTGAATAATGTATATTACATTTATATATAAACATATAACTTATACATATATGAATGTGCACGTGCATGTGTATATATCTATCTTACAAGAGTAGCTGTCCACATAGGCAGTGCTATAACCATGTTAGCTACTACGTATGCACATGTGTGTGTGCATGTATGTAGAGTAATGTGTGTGTGTGTGAGAGAGAAACAGAGAACGAGGGGAGAGAGAGAGAGACTCTAGTTTATGATAAACATTATCTGAAAGCCTCTAGAATGGCTGGAATATATTCTGATCCATATTAAAGCAATTATTTGAGCATATCAGATATTTTTAAAATTTTGCTTTTCTCTCTCTTCCGCTAACAGGGAGCTCCTGGAAGGCAGCAAGTGTAGTTTATTTTTCTCTGCATTCCAAGCTTCCAGCAGTATGCTTCGTAGATGTTTCTGGAATAAATGAGAAAAATGAGTCCTAAATCCTGAAGCTGAAGCACCACGGAGTCTCCTTCTGCAACTGCAGGGGCCAGGCTATTCGGTTCCCTGCCTCCATCCCCTCCCGCTTCTGTGAGACACACTCTGAGCTCGTATGGGATGACGCCTTTCTCAGGATATCTGGTCTCCACAGTGAGAATACGTGATCACATCTCACTGCCAGGGAGAGGGAGGAAAGCACGAGGGACCCTCAAGCGAGAAATGGAGGCTCCAAACTGACTGGGAGGAAAATGGAAACTCCAGCTGACCTAAGAGATTTCTATAATGAGAGAAAACCAATTTAAATGCAAATAGCCTACGGTGTCGTTGGGGAAAGGCTCCTTGCTACAGAGAAAGACTGGGAAAACAAACACAGCACTCACCACGGGGCTGGTTCACCGTTGGACAGAAAGGTTGCTTTATCCATTTAGGATTAAAGTCTAAATGAGTAACAGAGTCACATCCATCGCTGGCAGCATTTCCTGGTGCTCCACGGTGGCCACTGAGAAATGGGTGTCCTCAAGGGGTCCTGGCATTGGCCACTGCCATTTCCTGAGCCCCTAACAGAGGGCAGGCGCTGAACAAGGCACAGGGAACAAAAGCTGTGCCAGACACAACTGCCTTGAGGGGCTCACAGCCTAAGGAGACCGTTAGACTACGAAGTCAATTTTGGGCTGCAAAGAGAACGAACAGTTTATTGAACACTTACTATGTGCCAAGCCAAGGACCAAAAACTTTATGGTGATGAGAGTTCATCAAATTCTCACAGCAACTCCGTAAGGAAGAGCCTATTATGTTTCCAATTTTATGGATAGGGAAACTGACATTCCAGGAGAGTAAAAATCTTACCTCCGGTTGCTGGGCTTCAGACCCAGGCAGAATGGCTCCGGGACAGTGGCTCATATCTCCCTGTGTGCTGGGAGGAGAGCTGCTGCAGAGAAGACCCTGGGACCCTGGGCTCTCTCTGAACACGGGGTGCTCACCCAGAGAAGTCCTCACAAAGCAGAGCTGCCCCAAATCAGGAAGCCTTGGGACAGGGTCTGCCACTGGTCTTGGCTTAGGGCAGCCAAAAAAAATAATACTGTTCAAGGAATCAGGACGTGTGAGTTGCTCTGCCACTAACAGGGTGTGTGACCTTCGCAGTCACTTTCCCTCTCTGAGCCTCATTTGCCTATGTAAGATGAAGATTCTAAAATTATTTGGGGCTACGAAGTTCTTTTATCTTAGGACTCCAGCTACCCTGGAGAACAGCCATTGCCCGATGGAGGCAGCACCTCCTTCCTGTCCTCCTTTCTGCCCCACCTCCTGCCTTCTACCCCGGCTGGCCCATATCTGTTGCAATGGAGCACTTTAATTTCCTCCTTTGGTTTCATAATTCAAGGACAGCACCATCTGCCACATTAAATCCACGCACTCCGCTTGCCTCCTTCTCAAAACAAGGGCTGGATAAAGGCTTCATCCGGTTTATTTCATGGATGGAGCAAGATCTGGCAAAACCAAATGGGGACAGCTTTGGCCTTGCAAGCTGCATTAATCCCCTAATCTTCTGGTAGGGCCACAGAGCCCGTTCTGTCATCGCCACCGCCCGCCCCAGCCAAAACATGATGCTGCTGCTGCTGATGATGACGTTGACGGAGGCTTTTCTGAGTCAGGCATTTTCTTAAGTGCTGTAGGCTCATTTATTTACTTCCCACTACGTCTCTGTGAAGAAGGGGCTGATCATAATGGCCCCACTTCAGAGACGCAGAGACTGAGGCCTGGGAGGCTTCAGAAATCTGCCAAAAGCCCACACAGCCAGCCAACAGCAGAGACTGAATGTGAACTGGCTGTGGAAATAAACACAGACACACAAAGACAGCCAGCCTGAAAGAAGCTGTATTTTACAGCCAAGCTCTCAACCATTGATCTTTGAAAAGTTGAGCCTGGGCACAATGGCTCATGCCTGTAATCCCAGCACTTCGGGAGGCTGAGGTAGGAGGACTGCTTGTGCACAGCAGTTCAAGACCAGCCCAGGGAACACAGAAAGACTCAGGGACCCTGTCTCTATTCTACATATATATATATATATGTATATATATATATATATATATATATATATATAAAATTAGCTGGGCATGGAAGTACACACGTGTAGTCCCAACTACTCAGGAGACTGAGATAGGAAGATCGCTTGAACCCAGGAGGTTGAGGCTGCAGTGAACTGTGATCACACCACCATACTGCAGCCTAATCAACAGAGTGAGAACCTGTCTCAAAAAACAAAAAAGTAAAAGAAAAGGTGAGGTCGTATTTCTTTATTCAGCATTCCTGCAAGACGCGTTTACTGAGCCGCCCACTGTATGCCATGTGCTACTCTCCAGGCATGAAAGCTCCCCACGCGCAAGGCCCATGGTAATCGCTCTCATAGGACACAAGACAGGGACCAAGTCAGCAACTGAACAAGCAGGCAGGATCATTTTAGGCCAGGACAAGGTGTTATGAAGGAAATACAGTTGTGGGGGCATGAGAGAAAGAAATGGGCAATACTTAGGGAAGTCCTCCGGAACAGGAGGGTCTGTGGGCGGTGAGGATGGAGTCCTGCTGCAGGCTTTCCTGACCTCAGCACTGTGGACATTGTGGGCCCCATAACTCTTTGTTGGGTGATCGTCCTGTACATTACAGGATGTTTAGCAGCATCCTTGGCCTTTACCCACAAGACGCCAGCAGCATCTGTTTTTCCAGGGTGACAACCAAACAATGTGTCCAGACATTACCAGTGTTCCCCTGGAGGGCAAAACTACCCCCAGTTGAGAACCCCTGAATCACAAGGGCGGCAAAGCAGGCGACATGGGATGAAGGAATAGTGAGGTGGGCTACAAAGCTGTTCAGTGTTTGCGATGTAGGAAGGAGGCTGGTTTGGTCAGAGGGCAGTGGGCCAGGGAAGGATGGCCACGTGCTCTGCAAAACTCTCCGGAAAGTACTCAGCAACACTTACAGAGTCTCTTCGCTGGCCAGGAGTTGTACTAGCTGTGCCCAAGGACACAGCGCCTGCTCCAAGGTGATAATAGTTGGGGTGGCTGAATAAGACACACAGCTGTCAGCTTGGTGCTATCCATGGGAATGGAATATTCTGGATCAAAAGCAAGCAGAGAGGCTCTCCAAGGGCAGTGACCACGGTGAAAGAGATGCTGAAGAAGGCAAAGCCTGGGACCCTTTCTGAAGAGGAGACAGCGGGCAGCTGTGGCCTTCACCTTCCCAGCACCAGCTCCTCCATTTCCCATAGCAACTGCCCATCCCCATGCCCAGCTGCACATGGTTTTGGTGGAATTTCTAATCATGGTGCCCCACTAGACTGGCCAAGGGGCTGGCATGAGACCCAAGCTTGGCCATCACATACTTTCTTCCTGGGAATTAGAATACTGGGCAGAGAAACCCAAGGGCACTGAAGAGCTAGAGTCAATTTTTCTAATGGATGTGGAACAAAGCATGTTCTTTTGTTCTGGCATTATTTTTCGACTATCTCAGTTCCCTAAGAAGCAGTCATTTCTCTCTCTTCCAAGGCCTATTTTTCAGCTTTTCCTTTCAATACACTTCTATTAATTTACCAGAGTGGGTTTCTAATGTTTGAAACCCCAATTAAAATAGAAACAGTATAATGTGAACAGGGATGAGAGGGTGTAGGTTTCTGACTCACTGTGCTCCTCACTTTAATAAATATTAAATTTGGTTGTTTTTTTTCCAAATTCTGCTCCTCACATTAAATAAGCTGTGTCCCTCTCTCCCCTAGTTACAAGCAGGGTGCTTCACCAAGGCCTGACTGTGTCTTTTTCTCTTCATATCCACAGTGCCTGGCTCAGGGTTGACTTGTTCTTTGCACCCACCATGTTTGTAATTATGCATTTCTTTGTGAGGTAATTTGTTTAAAGTTATCCACTTGCACTATGTTGGAAAATAGAATGCCGTGAAACTATCCCATGAAAAGAGAATGCATTGAGCCTAATTTATTAGGATGGCCAACTGTCCCAATTTGGTTGGGGTGGGATGGAGTAGTCCCTGGCACATGACTTCCAGGGCGAAAATCAGGGAAGTTCAGGGCAAACTGGAACAATGGCCAACCTACCAGCGTCTGGCCTCTCGGAAGTCTTCAAGTACTGATTGTCCTGGACACTCAAGGAATATACGTTGAGATGAACCGGAGCAAACTACAGCCCAGCAGTGAGGCATATTCTTTCATGCAAAAACATTTCTTCATGCCTGCTCTGTGTCAGGTAACCAGCTTGACAGAAGCAAAGGATTCAAGGAAGGAAATCCCAGCAGCCAGGGCTGCCGTCGGATTGTAGGTGGAAATGCTACTGCACAAGGTCTTTGGAGCGTCAGGCTAAGAAGCATGCAGCCCCCAGGGGAGGCAGGTCCCCTCTGATTTAGAAGGGAGGAGACAGGAAGACATAATAATTTAGGAGCGATACATTGGCAATACCTCCCAGGGACTCGGATAAGGAAACCACCATAGGAAGAATCTGCTGGGCCTACTGAAATGGGGGGCAGAAACTGAAGTTAGCTAGTTATTTGGTTGTTTTTTCCAAATTCTGCGCTGGGCAGAGAGAGGAGTTTAGCAACTTCCTTTTTCATCTCAAGCACAGCCATCTGCTCAGCTCAACGAGCAGAAAATCCACCCCCAGGAAACGTGAATTTATTTGTGGGTATGTGATGGAGCCTACATCTTTACTCATCAGAAAGATTCGGCTACACAGCCCCTACCATGGGGCCATCCTCTTGAGAGGTTGCAACTCTGTTCCTCAGCAGGTGAGAGGTTTCCGTGCGGCTGCTATAGACAATGTTTTTGTCTGGCCACCCCCAACCCAGAGCTAACCCCCAGGCGATGGTATAGCAGGGAGGCCTTTGGGAGGTGATTAGGTCATGATGGTGGAGTCCCGTTGATGGGATTAGTGCCCTTAGAAAGAGACCCCAGAGAGCTGCCTGGCCTTTTCTGCCATGTGAGGGTAAGCCAGAAGGAGCGCTCTGTGAACCAGAAAGCAGACCCTCATGAGACCCCAAACCCACCAGTGCCTCATCTTCAACTTCTAGCCTCCAAAACTGTGAGGAACACATCTCTGCAGTTGATAAGCTACCCAGTCTATGGGATTCTGTCATGGCAGTCTGAATGGACTAAGACAGCAGCCAAACAAACTTTTGGATGGGGCCTCGCAGACTTTCAGGACCTGGAGATCCTCCGAGAAGAACATTTCTCTAATCCAGCTCCCTCATCTCAAAGCAGGAAAAGAGTCTTATTTGCATGATATAATAAGCAAGGGCTGGGCTGCTCTCTCTTTAACTCTTCTCAATAAAGAACTGAATCACATAATAGGGAACCCCTTGCCCCCGGGGAGTAGGGGAAAGTGAAAAGACAAGGAAACAAATACATTGCATCCTGTGGTAAGAGAGGTTTTCTCCTGTGAAAATCCTCTTTCAATCCTTCTCATTACATCAGCAAGGAAATCTCACTTTGGTACTAATAGGTCTTTAACGCCTCTCTCAAACTTTAACACCTCTGTAAATCTCCCTTTCAAACGGGAATCAAACAGGTCTCAAGTCCAGAGTCTTCCATAGGTAACCCTACTCTTCTAGAATTAAATATTCTAGAATTTCATAATATTGTTTTATTTTCGTGGGTTTGTTTTTTTTTTTAAGGCTAGCTTCTATTTGTAGCAGATGGGATTGGCTTTCCATCTACGGTTTTCCTTTTGAAGAAATGTATTTTAAGTTTTAAATGGGAGACAAGTTAAAGACAAACAATGAGGGAAAGACTAGACCACATGGTATGCAGTGATAGCAAATTTTTGGTGGACCTTAAACCGTTGAAGTTTGAAAACAGGAGTGGAGGACAGAGGGATGGGGTGGAGACCCCGTGGCCGCTCACCAGGGCAGGTTCCGTCCATGTTATTATTATTATTTTTTTTTTTTTTGAGACTGGAGTTTCGCTCTTGTTACCCAGGCTGGAGTGCAATGGCGCAATCTCGGCTCACCGCAACCTCCACCTCCTGGGTTCAGGCAATTCTCCTGCCTCAGCCTCCTGAGTAGCTGGGATTACAGGCATGTGCCACAATGCCCAGCTAATTTTTTGTATTTTTAGTAGAGACGGGGTTTCACCATGTTGACCAGGATGGTCTCGATCTCTCGACCTCGTGATCCACCTGACTCGGCCTCCCAAAGTGCTGGGATTACAGGCTTGAGCCACCGCGCCCAGCAACTCTCCGTCCATGTTATTAAGCAAATGTCAAGGCTGAAATTTAAAAGGTGGCTCTTTAAATGAATTAGAGGCAGAGACACTGGAAAGTGCCAGGAAATTCGTCACGTGACCTTGAGAGAGTGCAGATCTGTTATTTGACTTGGCAAAGGACCCTTCTGGTGGATAAGGGTGTCCCGCCTCTGAAAAATGATGTGCAGTGCATTTCTGTATGTTTCCTGTGAATAGCCACTGAGGCAGCGGCAAGGGAAGTCATGGGGGTGGAAGGGCAGCCCCAGCAGCCACCACCTATCAGGACCCTGCTCAGCTCTGCCCATGCTGCCAAAAGCCTCTCGCCTCACCCCTTCAACAGCCCTCTCATGCTAATGCTACTAACCTCTGATGCTTATGGAGTACATGCTACATGCCAACACCTCTTCAAAGCACTCATTCGTTCATTTAGTCCAAACAGCAATCCAAGGAGGCCATCATTATTACTCCCACTTTACAGATCAGAAAACTGAGATGGAAAGTGTAGGTCACAGTAGCGGTGGATTCAAGCCCAGACGTTCTGGCTTCAGAGCCCGCACTCCAGCTTCATCGAGGTGAGTGAGCACAGACCTTATCTCTTTCTTACAGAGGAGGATGCACAGCTCCTGAATTGTAAAGTTAGCAGAAACACCTCCCAAAGGTGGCATTTCCCCCAAAAGCAAGCTATTGCATTAATTCAACAAATGTTTGTTGAGCATCTACTATGTGGGAAAGATCCTTGTTTTTTTTTTTTTTTTTGGTCATGTGCAGTTGGGGGCTGTAGGTCCATCCCTGTCATCCTCTAAGCAGAGTAACCCTGTAGACTTCTTGCTAGGGTTCTGGGGTCTCTGGATGAATATGATGCAGACCCAGCCATCAGCCTGGCTGGGTGGCAAAATCAGAAAGCTTGGACAGGGGCTGTGGAACCTTGATTCTTGTCCCAGTTTTGTCATTTCCTGCCTCAGCCTCTTTGCAGCTCCCAGCCTCAATTTCCTAACCCCCCAAAATGGAGATCTTAATGACAATGGTCTGGCTTCACTCACAGGGTCATTATGAAAATCAAATGAGATTGCACAGGGAAAAGTCTCTTCAAACTGGAGCTCCATGTAATGGTCATCATCTGTTGATGTCGCTCTCTGGTGAGTTGTTTATTTTTTAAATAGAAATTACTGTTTGTTTCTAATTACAAAAGTTTGGGAGTTACAGACTAGCACACAGAGTTTAAAAATGGTTTATTACCCCATTACTTCTTGATCATCTCTGCTAACCTGCTGGTATATTTCCTTCTGGATACATAAAGTCAAAGACAGTTGACCCCTGAACAATACGGAAGCTGGGGTGTTGACCCCCCTCACAGTTGAAAATCTGCATACAACTCTTGACTCCCCAAAAACTTAACTACAAATAGCCTATTATTGACTGTAAGCCTTACTGAGAACATAACAGTCAATTAACATATTTTGTATGTTCTATATATTGTATACTGTATTCTTACAATAAAGGAAGCTAGAGAAAAGAAAATGTTATTGAGAAACTTTTAAGGAAGAGAAAGTATATTTACTGTTCATTTCGCAGAAGTAGCTCAGCATAAAGGTCTTCACCCTTGTCGTCTTCATCTTGAGTAGGCTGAGGAGGAGGAAGTGGACGGGTTGGTCCTGCTATCTCAGCGGTGGCAGAGGTGGAAGAAAAGTCACATGTAAGTGGACCTGTACAGTTCAAACCTGTGTTGCCTGAGGGTCAACTGTGTAATGATTACCTACTTAGAATCCAGTAGCTTTCCATGGCACTTGAAACGAAATCCAAACTTCTTATCAACACCTCACCTTGGCTTTCAGTCTCTGTGTGATCTGGCCCTGCTTGCCTCTCCTGCCTCTTTTCTCTCTCCTCACATATTATTTCTCTTTCTTTTTCCCCTCCTAATACTCTAATGGCATTGCCCCTCAAGGCCTTTGCTCCTTTCCCTGAAATGCTCTTCACCAGATCTTCATGACTGGATTTTTTTTCAGCGTGCAAGTCGCGGCTGAAATGTCAACTCCTTGGATAATCCCTCCATCTTCACATGCATGAAACTAGTCCATCTTATATGACTTTCTTCATGGTATTGTGTGCCACGCTCAGAAATTATCCTGTGTATTCTTAAGTCTATATGTTTATTGCCTGTCTTCCCCCAAACAAATTTCTACCCTGAACTTGTTCCTCTCTATATCCCCAGAACCCAGAATGGTGCTTGGCATATGGCCCATCTTCATTCAATAGTTAATAAGTGAATGAATTGGATTAATGTACTTATGAGCTGGTATCATACTGATTTTCCCTTTACTGTGATGTGACCACCTTGACTTTTAATGAAAGTGTAGCATTCCTTTGTATAGGTGGATCATAATTTTATTTTATTTTATTTTAGGCTGAGTCTCACTCTATCGCCCAGGCTGAAGTGCAATGGTGTGATCTCTGTTTGCTGCAACCTCCACCTCCCGGGTTCAAGTGATTCTTGTGCCTCAGTCTCCCGAGTAGCTGGGATTACAGATGCATCACACCCAGCTAATTTTTTTATATTTTTAGTAGAGATGGGGTTTCACCACATTGGCCAAGCTAGTCTTGAACTCCTGATCTCAAGTGATCTACCCACCTGAGCCTTCCAAAATATTGGGATTACAGGGGTGAGTCGCCGTGCCTAGCCGGGGTCATAATTTTTAACTAAGCCCCCGTTACTGACGAGGTGGAATATTTCTGATTCTTGTGTTTGCAAGTTAATACTACATTCTACAGTGACCATCTTTGTCCATACACACATTCTCATCTCTCTATGACCCTTTCCCTAGGATTAATTCTAGCAGTAAAATTGTGGGATCAAAGAGTTACATTGCTTTAATCCTCTTCATATATATTACCGTGGTCTACAGAAAGGTTGTGCCGTCTCTGAGTTTGCTTTAATGACCCTTAGCTTGTGGGCTTCTTAGCAAAATGCTCTGAAGACCACAGAAATGTCATTGCCTCCTCTTACCCAGGAGAGTAAAGGTTGAGGCCATCTGACAGGACAGATCATGCCCACTTACTCTGCAGAAACTTCCTCCCTTTCCAATAACGGAAACAACTGTTAGCTCCACTGCTCCGGCCCAATGTGTGATACAGAGGAATCCCCTAAGGAGTGATGTTTCTGAGGCTAGAAGTCACTCCAGCCAGGCTGAGGAGCTTATCATTCTAGAAACTAATACCAGCCAGCCAGACTGTGCCAGCTCAACCTCCCTCCTTCTGCTCTCCAAAGCACACCGTGGCTTGGTCAGCTGACCTCTGCTGAGTTCAACCCGTTCTTGGCCAAGCTGTCTGGGCTTCTGCTCAACCCGCCTTTGCTCTGTGATCTACTTCATGTCATTTTTCAAGTTCTAGCTTTACTCCCCACCTTCAATTTCACTTTCTAGAAAGCCCCTTTCATGGTACAGCTCTCGGGGATCCTCTCCCAGCCCAGAACTGCCGTAACCCTGGTGACCAGCCTCTCTCTCAGCATTGGACCATCTTGCCACTTTGTGTAGTTTATGTATCTTCGTGCATGAGTGACTCTAAATGTTCAAATGAGTGGTTTTCTCCCTCTGGGAGCTCACGCATAGTGTGACAGTCACAACTTTTTAGAGAATCAGGGCTGGGATTGATCCTCGACTCTGCCACCCACTAGTTCTGTGCATTTGGGCAGCACGGTCACCTCTTCTGAGCCTCAGTTTCTCCATCTATAAAATGAGGGTTATGATAGCATGAATTTGAAAAGATTGCTCTGAGAATTCAATGCATGTGAAGTACTTAGCATAGTGCCTGGCACAGAATGCTTATTAAAAACAACAGCAACAAAATGGTGGTATTTATCCTAATTTTGTTTTTCTAGGCCTCTCAAAGGACGAGCCAGTGATGTGTACAATGGTAAAAGAAATATTTGTGGAATGAAATGAGTGGATGTTGTGTAAACATTCATTGTGCATGTATGTATTTAGCTCTATTAACCAGAACCCTGGGGGACTAGAACCAGTTACCCCAGTGTCTAGAGAGGAAGAAAGAAATCTCTCTCCTTAGCTGAAACTTTACTAAGAGCTCAGTCCAGAGCTTGCTTGAAAGTAAAGATAAGTCATCCAATTTAATCCCCACACCAACCCCACAGAGAGATCTTTTTATATCTCTATGCTAAGAAGACCTACCACTGACTGTGTTCCAGATCTGTGCAAGATGCTTTTGAAAAATGTAATTCCCTTTAAGGGCTCACACTATCTCATTGAGACAAGAATTATTACTGAAGAGAAAACAAGGTCAAAAAGTTTAAGTGAACTGCTCGAGGGCAAATGGGTAGTAAGAGAAGAAAAAGGATGAGTCAGGATTGAACAGGGGTTTGCTCTGTTCAAATATGTAAAATTAAATTAATAAGCCTGCCCCTTCGTCAACTGCTTCCCTGACATTCTCACATACGTTCAGTTGGCGCTTAACAGGAACTGAATTGAAACCTCCTGGTGATCTGCTAGAGACTTGGATCTTCTAATAGATGTTTCAAAGGGATCAGTTTCTATTTCTGGTGCCCATGGAAATCTTGAGGGAGATTTCTCCCTACCCCTGCTCTGGCGTCACGATGTTCTTGTTTTTCTCTGGGCCCTGTGACTCAGCACACGGCTCCAGATGGCTTCTTGCATTTCCAGCCTTGTTGGCTGGGGTGCCCAGGCCCTGGTACAGTAAACAAACCCAAACTAAGTTGCAACAAAGCATCAATGCCTCCCCACCCCTGCCCTCTGTTATGAAGACTTTGTAGTCCACTACTCATGATGGCCAGTCCCTCCATGGCTGGCCTCCCTGAAAAAGTCCCCCTCCCTCCTAGCCCTGAGATTCCCCAACTTAGCCCCAGCACATCTGATTCCTGAACATGAGATCCGGGAGCAATCATTCTCCCAGCAACCAGTAAAAGGACGAAGGCACAGTTCTTCCACCCTTTGATCCATTACTGACTTTAGGCAATTTACTTTCTGAGCCTCGGTAATCACATGGAGATGCTAATATTGTCTGCTCCTGAGGGTTGTAGAGTTAGAGTTGCCAGACAAAACACAGAAAATCCAGTTGCATTTGAATGTCAGATAAATGATCTTTTTTTTTTTTTTTTTCAGTGCAAGCGTGTCCCAAATATTGCTCAAATTTAACTGTGTGTCTCGTGACTTTATTTGTTAAATCTGGCAAGCTTATGTGGAGTGTGGAGTCAGATGACAAATGCAAAAATGCTTTGTCACCTAAGGAGAGCTGTACACTTCACGATATCTTTTCCATGAGATGTATGCATGTGTACCCATGGCAACCAGCTTTGTCTGGAGCATAGAAGAGGTACTTTCAGGCAGGTGGTGGAGAATGTGTACCACCTGAGCCCGTGAATTGAGACTCCTGGGTCTTGTTTGTCAATGGACTGATCTTTGGACATTTCACTTCTGAGCCTTCAATGCTTCCATCTTTAATTCTCTCAAATGCTTGAATAAATAATATAGGAGCAACAGATGCCCAAAACGTTGCCTATTACTGATTGGCGCTCATGTGCCATAGACCAAATCTCCTTTTGATTTTGTGGTTAAAGAAGAAACTGGTAGAATAATTTATAAGTATAAATCCTTATTTATTACATCCTTTATTATGTAATAAAGGATGTATATGCGCAACATTTAACTCTACTATGTTTTAAGAGCCCTGCTTAACATAGAAACACAAAGGAACCAGCATACTATAAATAGACTACAATGTTTATTTTGGATTTGGGGTGTTTCCTCCTACTAGAAATCTGAATTCTGTGACAGGAGAGATTTTTGCCTGTTTTGTTCCCCAGGACTTAGAACAGTGCCTGGCCCAGAAGAGTGGAATATTTGAGCAACTGAAACCAGTTTAACTAGCCACACAAAGAAAAATAAATGCCACAAGGCACAGAGTCTCATGCCTGTAGTCTCATCACTTTGGGAGGCTGAGGCAGGAGGATTGCTTGAGCCAAGGAGTTTAAGACCAGCCTGGGCAACAAAGTGAGACCCTGTCTCTGCAAAAGAAATATGAAAATTAGCCAGGTGTGGTGGCACATGCTTGTGGTCCCACTTACATGAGAGGCTAAAGCAGGAGGATTCCTTGAGACCAGGATGTCAAGGCTGCAGTTAGCCATGTTCACACCACTGCACTTCAGCCTGGATGACACAGCAAGACACTGTCTCAAAAAAGAAAGAGAAAGAAAGAGAGAAAGAAAGAAAGGAAGGAAGGAAGGAAGGAAGGAGGGAGGGAGGGAAGGAAGGAAGGAAGAAAGGAAGGGAAAGGGAGAGAGGAAGAAAAAAAGTGTGCTTAACAACCTATTGGAAAGGAACCTTTCTGGAAGGAATCCACCTCCGTTTCTTGCTAAGGTATAATCATAGCCCTAAGTTTTTAGAGTGATTTATACCACTTCCCAACAGGGTCTCCACCAACCAGTGACCCACTCACTCAAGTGTCCAGCGACCTAGGTTGCTTGGTATGCCTTTTCCCAAACTCCCTAAAGAATTGCTGCTATGTTTTTTATGTTTCAACAAATTTGCCACTGGCTCCCAAGGCAGTAATGAATGCCCAGTACTCAGTGAGTATTTGGATTCCCTCATTAGCCGGCATCACCAGCAAAAGAAGTGCAGGCCCCTGCAGGGACTCCTTAGAGAGCTCTTGGGAC